CAGCTACATTATTTTCCTATACTCTGTACTCCACCCCCCCCCCCAACCCGTTCGTTACTGTTGATGTTGTCATGGCGTTGGCACCAAGCTTGATCTCAAGCCGGTGTTAGGTATATATATATATATATTTATATATTACTACAGGTGGTTGGTGAATATGCGGAAATGATGAAGAAAGACCTTTCGGTGTTGCTATCCTTCCGAACACTAACTACACCCTGGGGCCTTATTGCGCATGTGACTACTGACGGGTATCCAATCTATCATAGAGACTTCAGCTTTATCGTTTAGTACGATCCCTACATCACACTGATCCAGTGAGCTGGCTTCATCGTCTCCAGATGTATAAAGGAAATATCTCGAGAACAGTTCGGTGCACTCAGTTGGCTTATAATACTAAGATCCTGAATTCGAGTCTCCTATACGCAACAGATATCAATTTCTAAAAATATCATTGGGCGCGTAAGGCGCGTTTGTTGACCTATCTGCATCAGACTCTTCACGTTGAGGGACCCCAGATTGAGAGGTCGACGAGGATTAAATGCTGCACCTAATTTACAGGCAAAATATCTACAGTGCTATTTGGCAACGACCTTTGTCGAGTGACATACAAGTTACCTGAGGGACTATTGCAGGTCGGAAGAAGGGGTCAAGGGAGAGGGTTGGGAGGTCTGAGCAGTAGCCCACTTACCACTACCCACCCCGCTCGATGCAACGGACAGCGCGGTCCTGATTATCCTGTGCGACGACCGATGCAGTATGAAATCATTTTTATTTTGTATATGCATTTAGGTTTGATGGACGGGTACTGCTAGGGTGTCCAGACACTAAGCAGGAGAACGATTAAGGTTTTCAAAGAGAGCCTTTAGTTCTGACAAAAACCTAACTGCAAGGCAGCGGTTAAGGCGGATGGGGGGCCCATTAACCTGGATCAATTACTCTTACCACACGTTTTACCAACTGAGACGCCAACTTAAGTCGAATCCCCAACCTGGAGGATCAGGAGATTGGACTTTTTCTGACTTCTACCTACTGACCTTCCAGGCACGATTAGATCTTTCGCTCGACAAAAGCCATCCTGTGTAGCCCCTTGGGTCACAGAGGTTCACGAGCCATTACAGCACGTCAAAATGCAGTCTCATCATGATATAGGGGAAGTTAAAAGCTGGGCCAAACAGTGGGACCTCCCACTGAATGCCTCGAAATGTCAGCTACTGACGAAGAGATAGGAAGAAGCCTGTCCACACAGCGGGGTAGTGAAGCAAAGGATCTAGACATGGGGGTAATGCGGGGCTTTAAACCAGTGTGTGAAGACCGCAAACAAAGCCAGGGGATAGCTGTTGTCTAAGCGTGACTACGACGTGCAGAAAACTCAAGCATGAGCAGGAGTCAGAGAGCACTACCCGGCCTGGATGAATAGTGGGGTGATTAGGACTATAAATAGTTCGATCGTTTCACACTTGGTGAGGTCAAACCACGAGGTTGATGTGGCCGAGGTGTTTCGATCCATCTACTTAATTCGATCTAAAGGTATAAGGAGTCGTATTCTGGAAACAGCCAAAGCGATCAGAACCGGCCTGTGTATGCATTAGCTTATCGATACCCTGAGCTAATAAGTATATGTCACAAACGGACGTTCGTAAGAAAACAAAACGAGATGATTCACGAGACGGAGGACGGATCGTATTGTTACGACCTGCAGAGTAAGAGAGAGATACGGAAGCAGGAGCAATCGTACGGAAAGTGAAATCAAACCCGTGATGACCAAAGAGGTGGCCTTGGAGTGACAAATCAATGAGATGCACAGGAGGAAGGGTACATGTAGAATGGGATGTGGATGATCATTACCCCTGCACAATTCCTCTTATGCTTTCAGAAAAAATATAATCCGTAAAAACATTCGGTTTTCCATGAACAACACACACGGCAGTCATTCCCCACCCTCCTTTAATGACTCGAACCAATGCGTATGTGACGACCACAGTGTGAGCAACGTTCGATTATGCAGCTAGAATGTTGATCACTTCTTTACCCAATTTATCATGTTTTCCGCCTAATATACTTTTTGACATTGTGATACAGTAACTTGTAGGTGAATCACCGCAAACGAGCTTGTTTGCTACAATGTGTAATGATGGTTCATTCGGACAATTGAAACCTGAGGTGCTTGTCCCACTATGCAAGTGTATCCACCGCCGGCATCTAGAATAATGTGTGTAAGCTTGGGCTCTGTTTTATCGAAAGGACACGGATACACTAGAGGGTCCAACTTCTAACCATAAGAATGATAGCTAGGCAATAAGGGAAAGGCAGGAGCAGTGACTCCGGGATGTGAACCTGTACTACCTCAAGAGGAGACAGATGGGAGACCTGAGAGACGTTTAAGATCGTCTGGAATATATCATGCCTTAGATTTCCATGGTCTGCTCTGTTTGGTTTTGCATAGGGGCACACGGGGGCATACTGTAGGTTTGCAGAGAAACTATTCCAGGCTGCAACTGAAGGCGAACTTTTCCACTCCCAGGGTGAATCCGTTGTGGACCCGGGAGCTGCGTAATGGTGAAAGTTTTTAAAAAATGCACTAGACGAGTGTTGGACAGTGGCTATCCTCGAGGTGAGCGTTTAGTCACTACAAAAAACCTAATCTAATTGGATGTGCTACGTGCAGTACTGCGCAAAATAGTATGGTGCCTAGCATAATGATCCACCTTTGAGAGAAAATGAATACTGGAGTGTTAGAAGCCAATGAAACTCGGCGGAAATACATGAATCTGGAAGCTCGATCGGCAAAGGTCACAAATTGCCCTGAGATATAAACTAATGATGAAGGAAATCTAAATACCTGAACTTGTTCAGGACAGTTGGACATGTAAGACTTTGAATAGTGATGAGTTCTGCAAGATAAATAAAACGAATTGTCATTGAACGAGCTAAAATATAAGCCATGATAAATTAAAAAAAATCTGCACAGCGTCTACTGAAATAACGGGAGAATCCAAATAAACAAGAACCAACTTACCGGATACAAGTTTCGGGTCTTCAAGATATCGCATGGAAAATCTTCCTCGGCACATCGGACAACGTCTCCTGTGCAAGGCACAACCTTTTATACACAGAAAACAGAAAATATGCCCACATGGAAGTTCCACCGGATGGACGTATCGTTGTAAGCATATGCTGCAGTCGGTATCCGCAACGGCCATCGCGCGATTAAAGCCAAAACAAGAAGAGCCGATTTCACGTAGAAAAATAATGCAGAATCTAAGAATATCACACGAAGCAGGCCGTTTCAACTATTATGCTCGCAGTGATGACCAAAACACATTATTTATCCGAACGCAACGAACAACATAGCGAAATATTTTGAATTCCCCCGGCAGCTTGAGCAATTTATTTCCCAGTTGAATATCCAAAGGAGAAAAATCATCTACGCCTTAGAAAATGAAACAATTTATGGATTCTGATTTCCCTTGGCACAGTCTTTGTTTAAATGTGTCAAAATACTAATGGACGATTATTTACTGTGATCCGCGCAACGGTCCTGTGTTTTCTATTTTCCCTTTTACTCGTTGACAGTGGAATTATTTCACAAATACAAGTGTCTCTAATACAAAGAAGAAGATTTTTGAGGGAGAATCATTTTGTGCTGGAATTTTTCTGAATCAATTTAGTGAGTTCAATCATTTATAATCTTTACCTGGCACTAGAATTTATCACGCATTTTACTTTCATTGTTGCTGTTAGGTCAGGTATAAAAGTTGTATCCCATAGCCCCATTGTTTCGCTTGTCATATTTTCCTGATACAGGCCTCCCATATGCTTACCAAACGGTAGTGTTTTTTCTCCAACATTTGTTATCGGTCAGTGAATAATCTTCAATAAATCAGCTGTTCTTATCATAAAATCCTTCTTCACTCGCCTTTCGATTCGGCAGTGTTTATAACTGAAATGCGAACACCTGGCGGTAGGCATCTTTATGCTCACTCCGTTCGTTTATGCCGATCGTATAAACAGTGGTTTAAGAATAACAGCTGGTTAACTAATTGGCTTTTATTGACTTCATTTCGATTGAAGAATACTTCCTGGTTTTACATCAAACCCTGCTTTTGTTATTCTTGTTGACTCGATCACTGTTAATTTGTGAGAACGCTACCTATTATGTCTCTTTTTTAATCGTACGTTCCTCCGTCGTAGCCAGCTTTGTATAGACAGGGTCTTCCCTGCGACCTACAAAAACAGCGTTTGGTGGTGGCGATGCGGTGGTTTGGTCGCTGTCACCTGCGGGGTCGTCCTCGGTTTGCCCTTAAACAATCATCATTTTTCCGCTTATGCACCATCATCAGTGTGCAACTTGTGAAAGGTATCCCAAGAGCGAGCTTGCGGTTGAATCGGACCACGCTTTCTTGTGGAAGAGCTTTGGTGATCGAATTAGGGCGCTAATTTTTTTTACACACTTTGTACGATGAAAAGGGGACGAGGTAACTCTCATAGTCATGAGAACCTACTGTTCGTTTATGGAAACCGGTAACCTAGCCTTCGAAAACCGAAGTATGGTCGGGTTGGGTACCGCAGTTTTTGGCTGGTTATCATATCCTTACACCTCACGAAATGCTCCTGTATGTTCAAGCGTCTCAGATACCCCCGCTGAGCAAGCCCTACTCACTGCTTTCTCGTGGCGGTGGTTTCCCACCTGTGAGAGGACGAAAAGCCGACATCCAGGGCTATAATCGGGTTGGTGAATCATTGTCAGTTCACCTAAGGGAGTTGGCTAAAAGCCCTCATTCCAAACCAACCAAGAAACGGTGTAAAGCCCACACGCACACCTTCGTGGTCGCGGTAGTGGTCACCGGCTCAGTTGGGTATTGAGGTGTATTTAGCACCTCGGACCTATGACCCCGTCCAAGGGGCGTATGATCCAGTGTACTGGACACCGGTACCCAACGGACTACGGACTCTGAACTCCGTCCTGTTGTCTTGCATGTCTGGCTTTCTAGCCAAAGTAACATGCCCACTCAACCCATGAACACATTCTTCAAATTTCTCTGTTCATATGTTGTGGCGCATTTGCCAGTTCACTGTAATTGGTTACGTGTTAAAATAATAACCTCAGTTTTTGGACTCGGAGTCGCAAACCGCATGTGGCCTGTCCATGTTAGGTATGGTATTGCAGCTGCCGACAACCAAGTTGTCTACCGAAGTTGGGTGACGCTGGTGGGACTCGAACCTCAGACCATAGGGTAAAAAGCACGTCCGTGATAGCGACTAAACCACTGCGCCACCGCCACCAATAAACATCCTCCAGTATCGTAGAGAAAAATATTGTTTGTAACCTCCGTGGTTTGCTTTTTCACACTTCTGCCTATTGGCTCAACCTTACCGTAGGCAGACTTTGCGGTGAAATGCGACTATGGAAACGTTCGCCCCATCCCAGATGTGCTCAACTATATAAACGAGTGTAGAGAACTTTGTCTTAATTCAAGGTCTCAAACATAAAGTAGAACTCAACGGT